GACAGACTTCTAAAAACAAATCAAAAGACAATAATAATAATTGATTTAATGACGACGACAACAACAATAGAAAAAGGTAACCCTAAGCATCTTCATCATATGGAGATTAATTTGTCAAAGAATTAGATAATATCGTGATGGGTTATCTCTATAAATGCAGTGCTGCGGCCTGTAAACAATAACTTAGGTCGTTGTTTACAGCAACGACAGCAGCTGGTGCCTTCTGATCATTCCCTACTTGTAATTTGTTATATAAAAAAATATAATCAATATATATATATATATATATATATATATATATATATATATATAATAATTCAATCAAGCTAGTTAAGCCAAGCACATGCATACGCATGGTTTTGTAGCTGTCCTCTCTTGAGTGATGGCTACCATCATCTGGGGAGAAATTCAAACAAATTACTAAGTTATGTTTGCTTCGGCAAGATCATGTTAGCATCTGTTACTTGCCCGTACAATTTGTGTCAATTTCTAGATAAATGCCAGATTTTTGGCAGATTGGGGTTTTTTCTTCATCGATTGCATATATGTGCCTCTAAAGCTACGTAAAATCTGCAGTAGAGGCTTTGTTTAACTGGTTTATATATGAACAAGTTGGCAAATGGGTGATGAGACCTGCATGAGATGGAAGCATGCAGTGCTTAATTATGCATGCAAATGCCTCATTTTTTGGGATCATGAAGACCTTGTTTAGACTGGTGGTCAATGAACATGTTGGCAAATGGGTGATGCGACCTCTTCCTATAAAAATGTCATTTTTTGCGAGTCCTTTCTTTTTCCAATACTTAGTAGAATTTCATCAAAAATACACAATATATAAATTACTAGAAAATTAACAAATACTAATAAAAATACTAATAAAATTGTTTTTATTGATAAATTTCAATAAACTTTACAGATGAAAATTTTCCTTTAATATATATCCGGGAAATTATTATTGGAAAAGAATGTATGGAATAACAAAAACAAAAATAAAGAGTCATTGCTACAAATAGCATTATTAACACAATAAACTTGTTGCTAATATCTTTCGATGAATTCTTTAGTTATAATTATAATCTGATGATCGACTTTCCTTTTTCCTTTCTCTATTTTTTTTTCTATTTTTTTATGTAAAAAACAACAAAAAAATAACTAGCTACTCACTCAGTTTATGCTAGTTGGCCTATTCATTTAGCTGGAAAAACAAAAAGCTGAAAAGTTTCTTATGTTAGCCGGCCTAGTCATTTAATTGGAGATTAAGTAAGCAAAATTACTTATTTTTTACTTTAACTCATTTTACAAAATGTTAGTTTTTTAGCATTTTGATGTAGTATATATAGTTCATTTGTATGTTTACTTATTTTACATATAGTTTATTTGTATGTTTACTTATTTTAGAAGTTTTTTTCATGAAAATTTGTTGTATAATTTGTACATCTTAGGGTTTATTTGAAATTTTAAAAAAAAAAATTGTTTGTAATGTGATGAAATTGATTTCAAATTTGTTATTTAAGTATTTTGTAATAAAATAAATAATGGATTATTTAATGGGTATGTTTCATATTTTGTCAATTTTAATGTTAAGTTGAAAGTTTCAATAAATATAAAGTTATTTGAATTTTCTTATAAAATTGATAATGGTTTAAAGATATTATTAAAATAAATTGAATAAATTTGAGTTAAATAAATATTAACTAATTTATTTTTTTCACATAATTAATTAATATATGTTAACATCAATATTCTATATAGGTTTGATATATGTAATAAATGATTATTCTTGGATGTATCGAGTTTTACCTGAAGGGTTGCGTAAGATGAATTATTATAATGAGTTTGAGAGTTTTATTAGCTATACATTATCTAATTCGAGAAATATTAGTGAAAATAATATTAGATTTTCATATAAGAGGTATAAAAATAAAAAGTTTTTCTATCTAGATGTTGTAATGATATATCTTATATAAAAATGGTTTATGAAAAAATATTTGTGTTGGTTTATACATGAAAAACCATATATTACTTAGGAGACTATGGTAGAAATTATGGTTTGTTCAATTTCATGACTTCTAATTCTAGCAACTTGTATGAAGTTGTAAATGACAATGAATCAGAGTTATGTAGGTGAATGTTAAATCATAGATGAAGAACCAAATATAGACACGGCTATGTTTTTTGATATTTTGAAGGACTCCATTTAACCTTAAGAGAAAAGTAAAAAATAAAGCGCATGTTAAGACTTCAATATAAGAAGCTTATATTGTTGAAGAGATCTAAACATTTATGTCGTATTATTTTGAGTCTCACTTGATAACAAAAATCAACTGTATTCCAAGGCATGATGATGACAAGAAAGTATCTTGAAGTGGGAACTTGTCAATATTTTTTCATCTTAGATGACTTGTACAAAAAAATGTTGAGGGGAAGATAATTGATAAAAATCAAATTCAGACATGCAAATAATTATGTGTAATTTAACTGCAATGAACTAAGACCTTTTATTTAGCAAATATAATAATTAACATGTCATTATTTTCAAACAATTTCTCTATTATACTACTATGAACTGATAGATTAAATAATTTCTTGTAGGCAACATAATCAACTTTTACTATTCCAAAATTCACAATGACTAGATCTTAAATTTTTTAATTATTAGATAAATAATTTTTCACGTGGCTCATGTAAAGATTGCTTAGTTATTCTTATCTCTGGAAATACTTAATTTCATTATGCATTTCTCATTAATTGTTAATGGTTGTAATTGTTATAATCTATTTTTGAGTTACTCCCCAAGATTTCCCCAAAATTTACCTTTTTTCATGTTGAAGATAGTCATGGTAAAATTTGTGGCCTAGAAGGGTTCCACACTAGTGGAATTTGACTTGTGTTTATCAATAAGTTGTTGTTTCAATCATAGTTTTAAAACCTGACTCAGCCCGGCGGATCGGCTAGGAACCTGGCTGACCCGGGACTGGAATCATGCCAAGTTTATGAAAAAATAAGAAAAGTTTAAAACTCAACTGACCTGGTGAATTGACCCAGCAAGACTCGTAAAAAAACCCAGTGACAGCTCGTTGATTTTTTTTCACTGAAATTGCTCATTTTGATTTATAAAAAAATTAAAATTGACTCAAGTAATTTAGTCAAAACTTGAAATTCAGCATTTGAACCAGATTGTAAGTTGGGTTTAAAAACACTAGCTTCTGTTAAAACAATTTTATTTTAAAAAAATATCATTTCTCCGCGTACCATGCGTACACGTTTTATTTTCTTTCTATGTCTTATTTGTTTAAAATTCAATTAGAAAAGATATAATATTGTAGGAAGTAATAGGCCAACCAATTAAAAAATTCCAGGAACTTGAACATTAATGTAGAGTTAATTGGTGTTTTACCTCGATAGTACTTGAGAATGCTTTTCAAATAAAGTTTCATAAAAAAAATAATTTTTTTATTTTTTTAAATCATTTTGATTTTAATGTTTCAATATTAAAAATAATTTTAAAAAATAAAAAAAATATTATTTTAATATATTTATAAATAAAAAATACTTTAAAAAATAAAGCTACCTACTAATAAAACAATATCTTCTTACACCCCACTTCTTAACAGTTATCATTTGTTTCTCTAAAATTACAAGTAACAGCACTAGAGAGAGAGAGAGATGTGAATACAAGGAACCTAAGGTTCACCTTCACCTACGCCACAACATGATCCGATTGCAATAAACTTGAATAGCTTCATGCAACATATTGCAACAGACTGTGTCTGGTTTTTTGGTGCTGGAGGGACTTGGCCCAGGGCATTTCCAATGAAAGGCATGACAACAATGAGCAGCAACACCATGAAGTTTTGGATCGACCTCATGGAGCATTTTGTTGGCACCAACCCCATCAAAAAAGCTTCACGAGTTATCAAATGTGAAAGAACGGAATTTGGGGGAGATAAATCTTCGATGGTAGGATTTTCTCTGCAGAGAATTTGGTGCATAATGCCTAGTATTTTTATTGTATTTAAAGACCGTAGCTAGTTCTTGAGAGGAAGTTTGATTTCAGTTTTCTGCCTTTCAAGAGTACAACTCATTTCTGCTTTCTTCCTATCTGTTCCTCCCGTATTTAGAAAGTGAAGGCCAAGACCAATTAGTTAGCAGGACAGCTTGGTCTGCCTGTCATGGACTCATGGTTATTCTCCTCTCTTTTGGGCTGGAACTTCTTTGCCGGATTCCAACAGCACTTCTTCAGAAAACAAAGGCAATACTAATTAAATCCCTCGTGTGTTTTTAATTTAAAAATATATATAAATAAATTTTTGATATTAATGCATTAAAATCATTAAAAAAAAAATCAACTCGAATTGCACCGTTAAAAATGGAAGAAAGAGGGAGAGGGAAGGAGATATACTTCTCCAACGCAACTGTGGATGAGTGCAGGAAACGGACAAGCCAAAATACAATTCTTGACTTGGTACTAAATTATCATGCCATGCTAAAACAAAATTTTGAGACTGTCGACAATGGCCACTTACATTTACACAAAAAATATAAAACCATCTCTCACCCATTTGCATATAATATTCAGAAATAGTCTTCCACTGCAATTAGTCAGACTCATGATCTCGTCTTCAAATAATAAAAAAAACCTGAACATGTATAGTATAGGAGAACGATGATAGTTTAAGTGCACACACTTGACTTTTTCCTCTGCTGGTTCAGTAAAAGAGGAAAAAACCCGAGCTATCTGCTTGGAGAAGCTGACGCAAACCTGGAGGAGGTGAAACCCAGATAACACAATTTCCCTGGCACTGAGAACATAGCCGTGCCTGCAAGTCTGCTTAAGAATTCCCCTCGCGGAGCTTAGGAGTCAGGGAGTATTGCCAGTTGCTTCCCAACGAAACTTTAATGTCCATAATTAAACCTGATAGGCAGCTTTTACTCCGAGTGGTATAAAAAATTATCTTATTAGGATAGTCTTTAGATCCTGTAATTGACCTCATCCAGTCTAACTTGAAAGCCTATTTTTTGTACTATCAAAAGTTCATGGAAGAACGGCTGTTTATTATACAATTTTATTTAAAAAAAAAAAACAATGGGGGGTTTCATTAATTCAATCCATTACAGCATGTGAGAGAAAGGTGGAAGAGGATGGGACAACACGCAACAGTCCCAAACACACAGATAGTGTAAATGTCTTCAAAATCACTTTGCCTTAGCTACAAAGGTTGGGTATACACACTCCAGTTTCTGGATTTTGTTGTTCCTTCCATATCCTCCCGGTAACTCTTAGCTTCAGCTCCTTCCTATCCCCACCAGAGAAGAAAAGTGCCATGTTTCGTTGAATAATGAGACCGTCATGACTATCCCTGACTTTCCTGTGGCTATCTCGAACACTTTGTGGGGTGCCCTCCCATGTCAGTTTCCTGCCATGTCCCCCGACCTCAAGGCTGTAGCTATAATTCCGAGCCTCAGTCTCATCACCCATGAAACGGAGGAATGCCATATAAACAGGGGCCATGCCAAGCTGGAAAGCTTCAAAGTGAAGGCAGAAGTACTGACCAAAACAATGGAAGACCTGACAAAAAAAAAAAAAA